AGTATTCTCACACTTGTTATCTAACTGTCTGTCTGTACTAGGCTAGCTTGATTATCACTTCTAAAAGTTTTTTTTTCTCTTACTTAATTGGCCTCTCAGAGTTGGTAAGACAACTCCCACCTGTTTATGCTCTCTGTATGTGTGTATATATATCTCCTCAATATATGTTCCATTCTATATGCATCCGAAGAAGTGGGCTGTAGTCCACGAAAGCTTATGCTCTAATAAATTTGTTAGTCTCTAAGGTGCCACAAGTACTCCTGTTCTTTTTGCGGATACAGACTAACACGGCTGCTACTCTGAAACTTTACATTACTGACACCTTTCTTCTTCCCACAATGATATTTTCAAAGACTGCAGAAGCTCTAATATAAATGTTTTGTTATTATAATAGTAGAAAAGCCATGATGCGACTGAGGGTGTAAAATTGGGACTTTTTGAGGCAAAGCAGATCTTTTGGATGAAAGATATTCAATGTATTTATAGATCACCGTAGAAAATATAAAATTTACAGGAAGTTGACTCCCAGCCATTTGCAAGGCTTATGCCTTCATATTAAGGCTCATATATAATTTTCCTATAACTCACGTTCTTCACTGCTGAACGCAGATGTGATACACTCATATTGGCCACAGCAGCGGAGTACTAGACATGGTCTGGATTAAGGACATTTGAATTTATTCAGAGTACACATCTGAATTTAGTACTAATGACTTCTCATTAGCTGATTAGAGAAGAGTGTTTTCAATAAGCTTTCTTGCCCCCAATCTTACCCAATGTCCACAATGTAACCACTTGAAATGAGTCAATCCCTTCTGCCTAAAAGAAAACCACCACTGTGATCATTTAATTCTAGATTTGAGTATGTTTGTTTAGAAAACAACAGAGACATTTCTTCATCCTCTCACCAAAATCACAGAAAAAAAAATCTCTATTTGCATTGGGCCAAATCCTGAAGTCAGTGGGAGATTTGATCTTACCCTGCAAGCTCATAAGTCTCACTGCAATCAGTAGGAGGCCGAGAGCACTCAGAAGATTACAGAAAGTACTCCGAATCTCAAAAGATCAAGCCCATCCAGTGTTAGATACATGTGATCTTTTAATCTGTGTAGTCTGATAAACCAATTTCACAAATCCCAACCGAACATTTTGATTTGGGGCTTGATCTTGATCATGATAACAGATTATCTACAATACTCTGACTAATAAACAGCAGAGATTATGGGAATTATTACCAATACATGTTGGTTGAATTCCACTCCAAACACTATCTGCTTGACAGACTCTTCTTGAAGATCCTATCAGTATAAAAGGGGGTCGGCACTTAAAGGAGACTTCAGATCTGTAAGTGAAACTTTTCCCATTAAGACGCCCCTCAGCTGGAGTACCAAGATCTCCACAAAATGCAGCTATTGAAGAAAAAGAAAGCAAAAACGGTATTTGAAGAACTGAACATACTGGCTTAATGTTTAAAAGTGGCATTCATTTCTGAAGGCACAAGTGAGCAGACACTAGTAATTGCTAAATTTGAGTGCAAGCGTTCTACCATGTGATTATGCTCACAGATCAGATATACAGATGTACAAATGGTAACATTTGTGCTCACAACTATTTCCCCCCATTGCTAGTAACTGCAGGCACAAGACTGCCCTTACAAAATAGGCCCCTTTATTTAGGTGCCTGAATATGGATGTAGATGATTAGCTTTAGATACCAAATCTGAAAATACCACCATCATCTTATTCTCAAAGTAGCCCAATTTTAGCATTTGATGGTGATCAGACACTAGACAAGAGTTCAGGTTGTGGGAATGTAGAAAAATGGATAGAATTTGGAGAGGAAACATGAGCAGGATTTAAAGATGGTTTCCCAGTTGGGGGAGTGTGAAGAGAGAGAGGGAGACAGAAAGGGACAGAGAGGAATCAAAAAATATACTAAGACTATGAGCTTAAGGATTGGGGAGCTTAATGATGAACCTGGCAATGGTAACAGAAAAGGAATAAAAAAAGATTTAGGATTAGACAGCTAAGGAGTTCATTTTAGCTATGTTGATCTTCAGTTGGTAGCAGGACATCGAGTAAAGTTGACAGAAAGAGAGCTAGAGATATCAATCCGAACAGAGGGTGAGAAATCATGGTGGAAATGCGAATCTCTGTGTAGCAAACAGAGAGCTGAGGTTGTTCAGGGATGAAGGCCACAGTGGTCAGGGACTTCTATTTTACATTTTATCTGAAAAAAAATTGCACACACAGCGGTATGCTGCTCCAGTGCTTCCATCCGCTGGCACTGATTCAGTACTGAGTCACAGAAGAACTTTATTTGACAAATAAATAGCACCACCTAATTTCAGTTCCCAGGGTTGGTTGGTTGGTTTGTGTTTAGAAAGTTCATGTCCCATTCTGAATGAGTCTGACCCTATTTAGCTTGTGAGAAATGAGGCGATCAGAGCTTGAGGTGGTTCAGCCACACACCATTATCTTCATACTTACGGAGACATTGTGGGACATCTCCCCTCCATACACCTCGTCCTTCACATGAAAGAATAGCTGCATTGGATAACTGATAGCCCTCTGCACAATTATAACTTATACTGGACCCCCAACGGTAATCTGATCCTTCCACTTTTCCATGGAGTACTTGAGGAGGTGGGCCACATGTGATAGCTACTGAAACAAAGAGAGAATTTACAGATTTTATAGGATTTATACTAAATGTAATATTGTAGCTAGTCATGCTTCTGTAATCAAATCTTATTGGGAAGAATTTTGCCCCAAGAGAGAATGCACATGTTGACTTTTCCATAGTACCCACAAATTAAATATACACATGTGCATGTTAAATTTTATCAACACTGAGAGTTACATAGTAGGGAGATAAACAGCAAAACAAGCAACATACATGATCAACCAATAAAAGGTTGAAATACAAATAATTGTCTGTTTCTATTAAAATTTTAGACCATTTTTCACCATTACTCTGTTTTGGGACAATAACTAAGGGAAAAATCGTAAGGACCTTTCTCTGATTTTACTCATACAAGATCCCTTTTTCTAAGTCATTTAAGGCTTTAGTCACTTAACCAATATTGACTTTACTGGTAATTATGTTGCTAAATCAGTATTCAACTCTTAAAATATATGGGCTATGTGGGACCCCCAATGTTTTCCAGAGGATGCTAAAATTGATGGAAACTAAAAAACAAACAAACTATATTTTTAAAGAAAATTTTATTTAAAAATATTGCTCCCTTCCACACATTATGCAAATATAAAGTGATTCAGCTAGTGCAAGGGTAGGCAACCTTTCAGAAGTGGTGTGCCAAGTCTTCATTTATTCTCTTTAATTTAAGGTTTCGCGTGCTGGCAATACATGTTAACGTTTTTTGGAAGGTCTCTCTCTATAAGTCTATATTATATAACTAAACTATTGTTGTATGTAAAGTAAACAAGGTTTTCAAAATGTTTAAGAAGCTTTATTTAAAATTAAATTAAAATGCTGATCTTACGCCGCCAGCCTGCTCAGCTCGCTTCCAGCTTGGGGTTCTGTTCACCTAGGCCTGCAGTGGGCTGAGCAGGGCGAATCGAGGTCAGGGCAGAGGGCTGGGGTGTGTGTGGAGGTGCAGGGCAGAGGGCTGGGTATTGGGGGGGACTCGAGGTCAGGGCAGAGGGTTGGGGGTGTGTGGAGGTGCAGGGCAGAGGGCTGGGTATTGGGGGGGACTCGAGGTCAGGGCAGAGGGTTGGGGGTGTGTGGAGGTGCAGGGCAGAGGGCTGGGTATTGGGG